AGCCAAAGCACGGAGTGAATTAGGCAATCTAGAATGCTGGGTGACCAAGCAGGCAAATTTAACATCAGATGAGGAAATAACCAGAAAGGCTACCCTCCAAAATCGGGCAGCTATTGATTTCCTGCTGTTGGCACATGGTCATGGATGTAAAGAATTTGATGGGTTGTGTTGTTTTGATCTGTCATCTAAAGGTCAGAGTGTCCACTCGTCCATTCAGGAAATGAGAAGCCTCATTGGGAATGTGAAGCAAGAAAATGAGGATTGGTTTAAAAATCTGTTCAAAGACTGGGACTTTTCTGGGTGGGCAGTGTCTCTTTTAAAAAACATCTTTTACTTTCTAGTTGCATTGTTTTTAGTTCTGTTAGCATTCGGGATTCTGAAGCGGATCGTCTCCAAGGTCATCACATCGAAGCCGAAGGCTTCTGCGCCAGTTTTCATCGCTGCTGCTGCCACGGAAAGTGATTGGTGGGAAGATGACAAGCAGAAAGACACTGCAGTTTAAGAGCCACAGTTTTACCTTCTCCCAAGGCACTGTTCTTCTTAATAAGTAAAGAAGAGGGAATTGTTGTTATCATGCTGACATGGTAGTGTGGAGGAAGGTTTTAGAAAGGCCTTGGGAATGGTAAACTGAGGAAAAGGATACATTCATGTATGCCCCNTATGTCTGCAGCAAGGCCCAAGCTGCCCTGTGACAGGGCTGCAGAAAGGACCTTGTCCACGCTGGGCAGTGCCAGCTTCAGCTCTGAGCCCAGCCCAGGGCTGTCCTTCCTCAGCTGTACCCTGTGCCTTGCACGGACTCTCAGGGTCACCTCAGTGCCTGTCCATCCCCAGTGCCAGCGCTGGGCTGGGTGTTCAGGGGAAAAGTCTCTGCAGTACATCCTCCCAGCGGTGCTTCCTGCAATGAGTGGATTGCTCTCCTTACACAAGAAGCTCTTATGGGAAATCCAAATTGCCCTGGGCTCTTGGAAATCATGAACTGGCTTTCCAGCTCTGTGAGAGGAAAGAGAGGTCAAATCCATGCAGGAAGAGGGGAGAAATAGCAGGTGGTGGGAATCACTGACAATTTGGATTCATTTTATCTGCCTGAGCTGCAAAGGCTGACAGACCCTGAGCACTGGCAGTGTTGTGATGTGTCCTGCCCTGCCCCTGTCCTGGCTGCAGCCGCCTGTTGAGACGGGGCCTTGTTTCTAAAGGAGCTGCACTGAGGGACAGTTGCTGCAATAAGATCAACTGAGTAAAATAAAGAGAATAAAATGCTGCACTATGGGGTCTTGTCCACTTGGTAACGCTAAAAGAGCTGTTTCGAGGCATGTCAGGGTGGTGGAGGTGCTGAAAGGGTGGCGGGAAAGGCTGGAGGAGGGATGGGAATAGAACAGAGAGAATGGTGTAAAATGTCACGAAAGCACTGTACCAGCCGTAGTCACTGCCCCACAACTCAAAGAGCTGCACCAAGGGACCATTGGGGCAGTGCTGGTTAGAAATGAGGCACAGGAAAGGGTGTGAATTGTGAAGGGAATAAAAGAGAATGGGATAAGGAAAAATGATAACAGAACTACACCAGGAGTGGCCCCCAACTGCTGTCACTAACAGAACTGCACTGA